GAGCAATTAACACAGCCATGCCAAGACAACTGTGACGGATTATGGCTACGTGCGGCAGTTCAGATATTGGATAGGAATGGCATACCTGTTTTAACATTCGCAAGTGCAGTATATACGATGCCCTGCTGCGAGGCCGAGGCAAATATAGAAATATCTATATTCACGGCCCTGCTAACTGCGGCAAAACCTTTCTTATTTCGCCGTTGAAATCCATCTACGAGTGTTTTGTAAATCCAGCCTCGGTGAGTTTTGCGTGGGTTGGCATGCATAGAGGAAGCAGAGGTGGTCTTATTTAATGACCTAAGATGGAAACCCTCCCTTATACCATGATGTGAGCTTTTGCAGGTCTTAGAGGGTGACACCGTGCATTTTCCTGCCCCCAAAATATTTGTGAGGAAGGATATTGTGCTAGAAAAGGACACCCCATTTTTTGCGACTAGTGACGCCCCTCTTGCCTTAGTTATGGGAGCGAGTGTGGATAGGGTCAACACTGAAATGATGGATGTTCGTTGGCGTATGTTAAAATTACATCGCCAAATACCACAGAGATGAATAAAAACATATAAAACCTTGTGGTTCTTGCTTTGCCAAGCTTATCTTAGATAATGTAGAGCAGTAGCAAACAACAATTAATTGAACAGGATGAGATAATTGGCTTGATGACATACTTGTCTGTCAACAAATACTTTATAGATCGATGCTCATGCACTGACGGATCTCAGCATAAAATACAATGTTTTATCAGTTTTTTAATCATTAACATTATGTATTTGCTAATTTTTATCACACAATATGTACAATAAGAATGTTATAGTCAACAAGATTTAATATCATTAAAAAATATACCAAACATAGTCTATTTTAAACGAAGCTCACTCGATAACTGTAAATGAATTTGATATCTTACTGCTTATATTTTATGGCGCAAGTGAGAATCGTTGAAGAAAATCATCTCTCAATTGCTTTTATCGTTCTCAACTGTTTTAAAATTTGGCAGAGTTATACAGTAGGTATGGACTCATTCATCCAGCGCTAATTTTCTAAATAAAACTTCTTATTAATAAGTCAATTACAGCGCATATAAGACGCAAAAGTAAGGGGTGAGAATCGTTTCTTATAGTGCGCTCACTGAGCTCACTTGTCACGTGTCTAACTAAATATACTAATATTTGGTTCTATAGCCCTCTCCAGTGATTACTGCGTCGATTCGTCTGGGCATACTTAATAGTAAATTATTTATATAATCCACGGAAGTGTCCAAGAGTGCTTTACAAACTCTACCTTTGAACTCCGTCCATGTTTCATGATTGATTCCCCGTGCTCGATCCTGAATCTCTAAATTGCTTTTAACAATGTGAAAAACATTTTCAATCGGATTTGGTCGGGGGATCGAGCAGGTATACAGAACAACTGAGCACCTCGATCCTCGATAGCTTTAATAGCCATTGCACTTGTTTGCGAAGGGTCGTTATCCCGATAACAAATATTTTTCTGCGTTCCCATCCATGAAATAGGGCCGGGAAATTTCTTCTAACAAACTCACTGAAATATACGGCATTCTTCTTCGTGTATTCCTCGACGCAAAATACTCCCATGTTGTACGCAATTGCGATTAGTAAATGCAAACGCTTTCCCCCTTTCCCCCTGCCAAGTTTTTGGAACCTTTAGATGTTATCTTTAATCCTTCCGCCCTTTTCCTCCATACTTTGCCTTTTGGTGCTGAGACCTGCGCCATTGGCCTTGGCTTGTGCACGAATGAAACACCGTCTAGATAGAAAGCAATAACCTCGTGGAAAAACATGGGCTCATTCTGTAAAATTTGCTTACATTCCCTCGCAAATTTTAGACGTTTGGCGCGGTCCGTTCGGCTCACTAATCCCTTTTTTTCGCGCTTGAAGATACTGAAATCCTTCACGGCGCAGTTCTCGATAAAATGTTCTGTACGAAATGCCTAACAAATGAAGTCCACTGTAGGCGACCAGTGATTTATTTGAAAAGCCAGGATTAATATCCCGTAACTTATAAACAATGATCTCGAGGTGACAATTTTTTGGGCCTTTCTCGTTTTTCCTTGGATATTGATTGATTTTTGCTGTTACTTAAAATGCGACACGCATGCAGTAGATTTCGAAACACCGGCATTTTCAGAAATTTTTCGAAAGGAATACTTTTTCTGTGCACCAAGATAAATAACGTACGCACGCATTTGATCAGTAATATTGCCATGATAAACCATTTAACCATGATAAACCACTCACATTTTAGTGAGTATGGAAAGCTTAAACTTTGTTTACACGGCTCTGGAGAAGTAAGATTGCAAATAAATCGAAGATTTTTCGCCGCTGTTCAGAAGTATATAATCGATACGAATCGTTTCTCCATACCAAACGTTTGACCAAATGCTTTTTTTTATTCTTATTCTTATTTCTGTGTGTGTCCGTAAGTGAGAGTCCTAGATAAGCAAAATGTTTTTGACTCAAACTTGCAATTTTGTTGTAAATATTTATTTTCCTTTTTGTTATTAAATATGTTTATATCATAAACCATTTTTACTGAATTAATCAGCTTGCATTGACTAATTACTATACCTGCAAGAGTGCGTGGATGCAATTTATAGTCTCATGACGTGTTGTTATGCAATATGCCTTTATCAGATATATCCAGGTCATCAATGATAGGCTTAATGCAATTGTTTTCAAGTACTTGTGGGGCTGAGTAACATTACTGTAATGCTGAGTCACTGCGAAAGAAACGTAAAATGTTATCAATCGCAACTATATTTCTCCATCATGATGTAATATCTTATTAATATAACCATTGCGCAAATTTATGTAAATTTCCTAACCTTAAAAACAATCGTTTTAAATATAGCAATGACACTGTAAAACAATAATTATTCACATATAACAAAATGCTGATAGGCAATGAATAAATTACTCAAACTAACTGCCTGTTTAACTCGAAAATCATAAAGTAACCCTTTGTTACTTTTGAAATGAAGTTTCAACGGCTTCCATGCGCACGAAAAAATCTCAAATAAATTGCCAAAATTAATAATAACTTATAAACCGAGAGTGAGGGCTGTACGGTAAATTACTATTTGACAATGGCGTAATTTACCAAATAAGGTCATGACAACACGAAAAATGGGTACGCAGTGCGTACATGCTGCATGCCCTCTGAAACTTATGATGCGCTATATAGCGCTAACAACTGGCGTGAAACTTCAAATATTGATTCAATAAGTTTAATATCAATATATATATTGAATAATAGCAATTATGTCAAAATAAGAAAACTTAAGATTCTCACGCGAATTAGCCTACGGTGTAGACCCATAGAAATAATAGACAAAGAATGCGTGCTGATGACAAATTATGTCTCCACTTTTTCACCGTGCGTGCCCTTTTCAATGCGCTTTTTTGAATTTTCGCCAGGAGTGCAAACTACAAAGTATAAGCAAAGCAAAAACTACGTTTTCATCGTGAAAACGTATTGTCTTGTTGTCTATTAATTTGTAGTTTGGGAATAGATTTTAAGTTCCTTGAAGGCACAAACTGTCAAAGCAAATGTGCAGTTACAAAACGGTGAAAATCGTGCAGCCTTGTAAAAACAAAGATTACAAAATGATAGTTCTTTCTTCGACGGGTTTCGTTTCTCTTCAATGTAAACGAAGTGTTTCATGCTCTTGAAACAAAAATATTTAGTTGTCGATAAACTGTAAATTGCCTAAAAATAATCGTGGAAAACTATGGTTTCAAAAGCGTTGCCTCAAGCTCAAGAAGTAGAAAAAAAGGAAATATAATTGTGTAAGTTTAAAAAGATTATTGAACTCTATTTATATTATAAAAGAGTTGAAATATTTGTAGAACAAACCAATTGATCGAGGTGATAGAGTTTATAATCTGGCGCGATGAATCGTGCCAGGACTGCTCACACTCGGTCACTGTGGTCACTCTTTGTTTTTATATGTCTTGTAAACATTCGTCGGCATATATCGGAGTTTTTCGACAATCCACGAACCGGAACAGCTGAGATGTGAGCTGTTTTAGGCCATTAGGGAGCTTTCCTGTTGTCCTGAAACTAACATTAAACCTCACTATTGCTTTTGTTATGGAATAAGGTTCACCTTAATTCATGAAAGCTAAACATTTATATTTAGTGAGACTTTCATGCGAAATTAAAGCACCGTAAAATCATAGCCCAACCATGCGATAGAAATCGAAAATTAAAGGGCCTTAAAGCTTGCTTAAACGATATTTTAAGGTCAGCTACATTTAAGGCATATTTAAAAACACCTTAATTTTACTTAAAGATTATCGTCAAATTTTAAGGAACTTTCAATTGTCCTTAAAGCAACTTAAATTTGAATTTTCTTCCTGTGTGAGTTTGTCTTGACCTTTCGTGTTTTGTTTTGGCTTGCACAACAGCATAACGTTGCAAATTTATTTTTAAACGACGATTTCTGCATATATTATGTCAGAACTATTGCTTTTCGCAAAAAAGCTCACTGGAATGGGTTTTTAGACACTTTTTCTTCTTTACCAAACTTTTTTTCCCTTTTAACTCCCGATATAAATTTTTTTGCAAACTATTCAGATGAAAAAAAAATTCGCACTCCCTGCAACCGCGCGAAATTCCCTGCCTCAGGAGCCATATATGGCATGCAACAAAAATGAGAGCTGCCTTACGCGAAAAAAACTGAAACAGTATCTCTTTCCTCCGCAGAGCCTCCTTAAGTATTTACAAATAACTTACATGAACGACCCAATGATCCCGAACACTGAAAATGTCATTGAGAAAATAAAGTGTTAGCATCTTTACAGTATAGCTTTACATATAGCTATTAGATAACTTGTGCACAATTTATATACATGTGTATACATGTAAATTATACCTCACATACGAAAAATGAGTCGCTTTTCTTTAAGAATTTAACCTAATTTCCAAGCTCTAATGATGTATTGTCCAAAGGTGGGGTCTGGGGGTTTGAAATCCGAGCTTTCTTTCTCCTAGATGGATTTCCTCCTACACAAAGCAATCTGGAGCACAAGTCAGTTTATATTGTGCTATGATTGCCTGATTTTGTGTCGCAGAGAGTGGCACTATGCCATATATATGTTGTCAGAACAAGCTGCCTGTGGGCACAAAAGACAGCAAATTCGGCCACGTACAAATAACTTTCTGTCGTTAGTTTGGAATATCACGAAACTTCCTCACAGGATAGAACTTGCCATTCCTAAAAATCGTATCGATTTTGTTTTTCGATTTTGTTACATTTTGGCGGGAAAATGACGTGCCAACTTTGGCGCCAAAAAAATAAACACGAGCTAAGAACATTCTAGTAACTTTTTTGAAGAGATTGTCCTATAAGGATCTCAAAACTGTAAAAACATTAAAAATACAACAAGGTAGTGCGAAGATATGGCGATTCAAAGTTCGAAAAAAATCTATTTTTAGTAACAAAATGGCGGATTTTTCAGAATTTTAAGCACCATATCTTTGCATTGCTTTGGCGTATTTTCAATATTTTTACAGTTCTGAGATCCTTATAGGACAATCTCTTCAAAAAAGTTCCTAGCATGTTCTTAGTTCGTGTTTTAATTTTTGGCGCCAAAGTTCGCACGTCCTTTTCCCGCCAAAATGTAACAAAATCGAAAAACAAAAACGGTAGGATTTTTAGGAATGACAAGTTCTATCCTGTCAGGAAGTTTCGTGATATTCCAAACTAACGACAGAAAGTTATTTGTACGTGGCCGAATTTGCTGTCTTTTGTGCCAACCCTGTTTTGTGACATGAAATCAGACAACACAGTAAAACCCTGCATATAATAAGAACCTAGATTTTTTCCAAGTTAGGCAACTTAGCCTAAACAGGTTCTTATGTGAATGGTGCTTACCTGACCGTTCATGTCACAAACTGTAATTATATTTAGTATATTCTGTATTTTCAGGGGGGCACAAGCCCTTGAGTTATATTCATGGTTATCCCCTTGGAGTTCTCTTTTAATGTCTGAGTATGTGACTGTGTGTTAATAATAAATTAAATTATTTGTATTATCATATAACCCAATAAATCTGTTAAAAAAAGAAAGATTCTTTGATGTAAATAAAAATTTCATCAGTGTTTCCTGAGCTTTCTGATGAGCTCTGATATAGAGCGAAACAAGCATATATTTAGCAATTGTCCTCTGTCTTGAAAAGACATGATGAACTATTAAGAGGGTCTGAATGGGGTTAACTGACTACTGACATTTGCCTGAATTTTTGACTGACAACTGACATAATATCCTAACTGACAACTGAGAAATGATGAAAAAATGACGATTCAGCCTTTTTGCAGTAACTGACTACTGACAGCTTGCAATATATCGCACTGACAACTGACAACTGGCTTAAATTTTAGCTGACAACTGACACCCAAAGACCCCCATTAAGACCCTCTATTAATAACGTGATCACTAGATTGACCAGAATTGTTGAAGTTAAAATTAGATCATTCAGTGTCACAAGAATATCATCATTTATTGTCAATATGAGAGTAATATCAATGAATTCATACTTCCAGTTCATAATTTCAAAACATACATTTTTATAACACAAAAAAGTTGAATATAATTTTAGAGTCTCGTACTATCGTCACTGTCAATCTATTGAACTCTTCTGTTGTTTATAACAGCATCCGAAGTCATCTCCATAGCGCGCACGAGCTTGAACAAAAGCTGTTTATCCAGCTTTTGCACGGTCAAAAATTTCGCCCTTGGCTTTGCCACGAAGACAAGAACTGCAGCCACATTCTCAATCACACTTGTTTCGAATTTCGTCAAGCGAAAAGCTTTCCCCAAGCGCTTCTGTCATAATGACAACAATATATTGATGCAATATAGTTGATGAAAACAGGATTGAACAATGTTTTGCTGCCCACATTGTTCACAGTTGTCAAGAATTAATATTGAACATTATTGTTACACCCGATTCATGCTCAACATATTGTTCAATATTGTTGACAAGTGTGAACAACGTGTGCAGCAAAACATTCTTAAATTCTGTTAAACAGCAGGCTCACAATGCAATGTTTGCAAGCGCAAATGTTCATGTTTATTAAATTTGATATTTCCTTTTCAATAATCACTTTGGACCTGCCCGGATAATAAAAACTTTAATTTAAAGGTAAAGTCATGACACAATTATATAAGTATACACTTTCTATGCCGAAAAGATGAAAGGTATGTATATATATTACATGTTTACACAGGCTTAATTATGCAAACCTCGAAAGCAATAAGCAATCTACAGTTGTGTCTGGGATGTTATGTCTAGCACCTGTCCATTAGGAAAAAGGAATATTGTCCATTTTTTTCTGAAACAATTTAATAAAATGGCACAAAAAGATAACTTTATATATATATATATATATATATATATATATATATATATATATATATATATATATATATATATATATATATATATATATATATATATATATATTCACTAATCCTCTCTTTCCCCGCCAGTTCAGAAGCCGCGAAGAAGGTAGGATAATTCGAGAGATCGTTTTTAACCTACTTGAGACAGCAAAAAACGAGTATTGTGATGTTATACATCTTATGCTTGTTTCAGCAAATAATAATGTTAATACAAAAGAAAACCAATAATGGGCCGTTATTCTTCGTCATGACAAACGTGTAACGCCAATCAATTTTTCGTTTCGAATTTACATATGCTTGGACTAAAGATAATTTTATGTTTACTGATCATGCACTTCCACAACAGCTGCATGTTATGATCTATTTGTGTGCAGCCGTTAAGTATACTGTTATAATTATATACAGCTAGCTTCTTATTTTTCCATTGTCGGCATTACAGCGGTATAATGGAGATTCACGATGTTTAATATAATTGCAATAAGCTAAATATTTTCAACTTTTTTGATTGCATCTGGTATAGCCTAGGACGTCCTAACAAGAAATAACCGGACGGATATTATTTGCCAGGTAAGGGCATGCAATTAACCTTATTATTCAGTAAAAACAATCGATTTGCCGCATCGTGCGCACAACTGGACATCGCATTTGCTTTGGTACTATATGAACTGCTCGAAAATGATAGATATTATATGTAAACCCGACGGGCAAAACGACGTTTATTCAACGTTGAATCATCATCGACAATGATCTCCCATGCAGACGTTGGTAGACGTGGAAAATGATTGAAAATGAAATGAATTATTTCGTTGACGTTCAAACAACGTTGAGATTAGGTGGCCAATCTCGTCAACCATAATCTGTCAACTTTGAATCCGCGTTGAAACAACGTTGAT